GAAAATGTTAACTTCTGAAATAGTACTACCTCCTCTACAACCAAAACTAAAATCCCACGTTACAAAGGTTAAGGCACAAAAGTAATAAAACAAGCAGGGAACAAGTGCCGTGAAAGAACAAGTGTGCCAAAATTATAAAAGGAGGCACACCTGTAGGGTATAGCACTACTTCTTGAACAGGTATGCTCTTTGCCCAGTAACAAAGTAAGACACATAGGATGGAACTTAATAAGACAGGCACCATCTCATATAATACAGATTGGACAAAAGATAGTACGTAAGATGGCCACATATGTAACAAGCATGAGAACATGACACAATCATAGTGAGATTTGAAGAAGATGCCTGGAATCAAATATAAGAATAAGTGGCTAGGACTAAAGGATAGTAAATGTACATGAAAAGGCCAAGTGTGGTCTGCCTATGCAAAAAACATCCAGGAGAAGCGCATTGGGATATGTCAGAATATAAAAAGTGAGGTTCATCCAGTCAAAAACAACAGAGGAAGCACCTTGCATAAAACTGTGAAATCAATAATTTCAGTCTGCCTCGGCAAAAAACATTCAGAGGAAGCACCTTGGATTGAAATTAAGATAGCCAAGTGTGGTCAGCCTGGGCAAAACATCCAAGGAAGCACCTTGGTATATGTCGGATTATGTCAAGTGTAGTCCATCCAGGCAGAAAACATCCAGTGGAAGCACCTTGCATAGTATTTTTCATTTCATATAATTATTTGTAACAAATCATGTGATCAACAAGTGCAATCTGCCCAGACAAAAACATCTTTGTGAAATTATGGAGTATGTATAGTGCAGCCCATCTGGGCAGAAAACATCCATTGGAAGCACTTTGAATAAGACTGATCAATTCATATCTTGAATGTAATATTTTGAGAACCCCCATATGAATAAGATACTGCAATGGGGGTAGTAAAGGACTTCTCCAACTTGATGAGAAACCCCACTTGAGCATCTTCTCAAACAGGTGAGTGACTGACTGGGCATGGGAAGAGGAAGCAGGAGCCAGTCATCCATGTAATAGGGAGTCTGAAAACACAGTGAGTGAAGATGAAGTGCAAAAGAGCATACCACTCAACAAAACACATACAGAGCTGAAGAAAAACTAAACGGCAGTGCCCAGAACTGGAAGACAGAACCCTCATGAACGACCCAAAGAAAATCGTCATGACACTGGGGCAAAAAACCCACCAAAGTGAGATGTAGGACACCAGAGTGAAGCGAGGTGTCTCCAAATAAGAATATAGCCAGGAAAGAGCTATGATGGGACTCCAATCTCTGGTGTATTTTGGAGACAACAAATAGACAGCAGTAAAATCCTGGTTAAGTGGGCACCACCTGTTCGATAGCTCCTTTGTGTAGTAAATCTCGACCAGACTCGGCAAGACAGCTGGACAAGGTATGATCCCAAAGAGGAGGGAAGGAGATCTGAGAAGTGGATAGAGGGGGAGGAAAACAGAAGGCAGATACCCACAGACATAACCCGTATAACCCACAGTACTGTTGTGAAGTATAGCAAAAGACACAAACTAAACACACTGAGAGAAAGTACTCATTATTAACGAACTAACAAAACGTAATAATGTGTAAAGTCTACAAAGGACATAAAAATAATAAACCTGTAAAACTATGAAATTTGACCTAAGCCAGAAAACAATAAGTAACACCCAAAGTACAAAACCACTAAAGGAACTTTGAAGATAAACGACTCTTAAATATCAAACACATTAGTCTACCCAAAGAATCTATAAGACATAGAACACAAAAATAAAACTGACCTTGAAGAACATGAAAATAAAAAGGTACCCAGTTAACAACAACAAGGTTCAATTCTAATCTAATCCCCGATTAGATGTGACTAATAGCAGAGAAAAAGACATTTACATAGAAAATAACATTAACAGTGAAAAGAATTAAAATGTAAACAGAAACAAAGGAATAATCATACTCCAAATGCAAGTTTAAACTAAATTAACCTAGATGGAAAAAGAAGTATAGAATTCTTACCTAACACCGAGCAGAGAAGATATGAATGACCTAAATTATCAAGTGTAGAAATTAGGTCCATCCACACAAGCTCACATACAGTCACTGAACATTGGTATACCTAAAAGGAGTGAGAAATACACACTGAAAAACTTCCTACAGATCTCCTGGGAAAAGAACAATGTCTAACCCAGCAGATTACACGGAGGCATGGTGACCGGTGAAAAGTGCCAGAGAAAGACAATTTCCACAC